AAACAATAAGCTGCATTCTTCCACTCACTGTATTCTATCCAGTCGTACCTTTTATACCAAGATTTGGAAAATGCTCTTGAGGAACGCGAACTTCCAAATTCAGTACGATGGTATTTATTCAAATCTGGTTGCATTGGACCCTTCAATATATATGCTCTCCTCACTTGGTCTTGAATATCAGGAGGATACTCACAAATTTGTTTCCTCTTTCCCGGATCGCGCTCAATCGCATTTGGATTAAATTCATTGGCAACGTTAGGCGCTGGTGGCTCTACTTCTATTTCAGGCTGCGCATCATTCACATTTTCAGTCCTTTGCTCTACTTCTACTTCAGGTTGCACATCATTCATATTTTCAGTCCTTGCTCTCTTAACCAAAAACCTCCTCATCTCTGAAATTTAGTGAGTAAAAAATCTGAAGTTAGTTTTTACACAAATAAGAATATGGGTTAATCACAAGTTCATAGTACAGTAGTACAGTACAATAACAAAGCTACTTGCATCAACTACATGTATCAGATTATCAAGTATTTCTTGATGTTGCCAAAGTGAAATCGGTGAAATATTTCTTAAAATTACTAGAAGAAAGAGTCTGCAACCTGCATACTAGTTTGTCAGTCTAATGAACTTACAGTTTCTGTAGTTTCCAGCAGCTAACAAATAGATTTTCTCTTTGGACTTTGGTCATAATCGTCCCCAATCGAAAGTTCCTAAATAAGCCCTAAGTACATCAATATCTCAACCCAAAACAGTTATTAAGTATGCGATCTTACCGGAAGTCGAAGGAAAGCAACTGCCCCTGGTCCCAGCCTTCAGGAGAGGAAGGGACAAAGGAAGGGACGACCGTGGCCACTGTCGGCTCGCGTCGGCCTGCCGCTCGCCCAGCCCCAGATCGCCGCCTCGCCTTCAAGCCCCTGCCGCACTTGGGAGAAACCGAAGAGACGCGAGTACGGGAGAAGCCGAGAACTGTCTGGACTCTGGAGCGATCGATGGTATTCCCTGTTGCCTCGTGGGCTAGAGCGAAGCGATCGATGGTATTCTTTTTTTTCTAGTGGGCTGGAGTGATCGGGACGTTCTAGTAAATAACTGGGTTGGGCTGTGAAGGAGGCCTAATCCAGTTTTGCCCGGGTAAATACACTCCGTATCGAGAAGTATCACGTATTGTGGTACCACCACTGTTGCCGTCGGAGTGCCAGCGAGCCCGGGCAACTGCCTAGGGTCGCTGGGTGCTCGCTCCGCCACTGCATGTGTACCACTTTTTGTTTACTTGCGACGAGGTTGGTTTACTTATGGATCACCCACCACCACTTTCTTCTGTGCAACAAAAGCTAGGCCATAGATAAACAAGCATCATGACAAGGACGTTTTGCCAGTTACGTAGTGGTTATAAGACATTTGGTTTCGCTAAAAAAAGGAAAAAGAAATTCATGACAAGGAACCGTTCGTTATTAAGCAACTAAACGATCATTGTTCTTGGGACTGTGACGCGTCCTCCGACAGATGGGCTAGCTTAAATTAATCCTAGGAAGAGCACACAGTTTTGAATGCCTCCGGTATGTTCGATATCCGTGGGCGCGGATTCTCCCCGGTAGGGTCCTTCTTTATCTCTTTTTCTTTTCAATTAATCCAAGTATAATGGTGAAGTAACGACATAGCAATAAGTATTTCCCTCCGTACAGAATCAATGTTTTATTGAACCAGAATGAGTTTTTTTTTCCAGTAAACAGAGTCATTGGTGCTTGCACAAAAAACACAAGACAAACTTGTCTTCAACACATCGAAAGCGTTGTCTAGCTTCTTTTCTTGCAAGTTACAACATTAGATTGCACGGTATGGTAAGAATTGATAGGTACATTAAAAAATGGTCAACACAGAAATACTACTTTTGTAAAGTTTTCAGTATAAGAAGATAGACCCTCAGAGCCATAGGTTCACTACTGGTATCTCTTCAAACATAAAAGTGTAGTGTGATGAACACATTACGACTGGACATTGATTAAATTGCAATATTTATATTTATGACTATGGTCATCGATGGTATAATCTCATATAGACATTACGTTTGTGATATGTAGACCGTTATCCAACTGCATATACAACTAATACTCCAACCTAAGACCGCTATCCAACATGTATCTTCAAGTATTAAGTTCATAACCAAGTGTTTCTGGCGGCTAGGGAGCCGGCGATACCTACCTGAGGGTGCGGTATCTATTTTGTTCTAGCGAGCCTGCATGCTTATATTCATGGGCTTCGGCCTTGTAATCTTCTCGTAGTCCGGCGTTTGCACCCTTACTAGACTATCGTTTCTCGCTTCGCCGTAGCGCTTATGTTGTTGGTGTTAAGTATGTCCGTATGACAATCTGCCTGTTCGTTGTGGGCTTTATTAATTTAAAGCCGGACGCTCCTAGCGTCTTCGTTCTAAAAAAAATAGAAATCATTGTATAGATAATTGAATGCCTATATAAGATATTCATACTAACATAATAACGAAACTTAATTATTAGCAGAGAAAAAGATGAACTTAATTACTCCCTCCCTCCGATGAAAAGTGTACATATGGAAATTTTAGGACAAATTATGACGTCGAGTAAAAAATGCATTTGAAAGGTGCAAACTACCATCTCTCTAATCTTTAATTACTCAACCCCCAATAAGATAAGCGCATGTAGAAATGAAGAAGACCATGTGTAGAATGTTATTGGTCTTGGTTACCGTGTGATGAGAGAGAAATATTTTTTTCTACTTTAAAGTGCTTTGAAAAGATAAAAGTAGACTCTTTTGTGGATAAATTTTAAAGTGAAATGTCCACTCTTCATCGGACGAAAGGAGCATGCAGCGAAGAGATGGAGTTCGATATATACGCCTTGCTATGAACGGAGAGATGGAGTTTCAAGATTACGTGAAGCCATGGCATTGGGCCAAACGACAACCAGCTTGGAAATGAAAACCCGGCCGGCTTTGTATGGATCCGCGCGGAGGAAACAATGGAGGCGCGCCTTCCGCGTTGGAATGCTAGCCTCGTACTGGACGCCCTAGCATGTTTCTAACATGCTGGACGTACATACCTAGGCTAGGCTGGCTAGCAACCCTCCAATGGCGACATGACAGCTGCCTCTCCAGTCATGACCTAATTTCTCTCAACGCTGGTTCGCCTCCACACCGGCGCGACATGGTTCCCCTGCTGATACCGCTGTTGGGCAGCGTGGCGGCCAAGGCTAGCGATGCGATGGTGCGCGAGCTGCTGAGGGCGTGGGGGCTGGACAAGGCCCGCCGGAAGCTGGAGCGCCACCTTGCTGCCGTCCAGTGCATCCTGCTCGATGCTGAAGACAAGAGCCGCACCAACCCTGCCATCCGCCAGTGGATCAAGGACCTCAAGACCGCGGCTTACCAAGCCGATGACGTCCTTGATGCCTTCCGCTACGAGGTGCTGCGCCGCCGTGCTGCCCAGATCCGCAGCCACTCAACCGCACGCAAGGTTTGTCCTACCTTCTTCCAGACCGACTGGCTTTGGAAATGGAATCCCTTCAATTTTAGTTGAGGATCTGTTTGGAAGTTTAAATTGAATTGGTGTGACGCTATTGTATTTTAAATAGAGTTTGAGGTTGAAATGGGACCAAGGTTTTGGGTAGCGAATCCCAAAAATTTAGGCGGATGGGAGGGGGCACGGTTACCCAAAAACACCGAGCGACTACCTTTCAAAATTTTCCAACGAAATTCAACTTCAAATTTATCTGGGCGAGGTACAAATATGAATTGTGCTCATATTAGTTAGAAAATCGCTTGTGTCGCACTGGTTTTAGTTCTTTGCGCCTGTCATGGGGAATCAAACACAAGACCTTTGTGTTGCATGCTTAGGAGGGGCACACCTGCCACCATCGTTGCTTGGATGTTATGTAAAAGTTTCCAGGTTAGTTAACTATGCATGCAAATTCAAAATTTCAAAAACAAAAGATTCTTTTGGGTCAGCTTGTATGTTTCTCGTATGGTAGAGGGAAACACGGTAACCCCACTGTACTGAATACACTGAGCGGTAACAAAAACCCTTAATAGGACTACTTGACAATTCTATTTCTGTTGTTTGGTTCTATTTTCAGCTTAAGGTTTTAATTTGGAAACATAAGCCTTTTTATTTCAATTTATATCTTTCCGTTTCAGGTGTTGAGTTATTTCAGTGTCAATAGTCCGATTGTTTTCCGTCTTTCAATGAGTGGGAAGATGAAGGATGCCCTTAAAATCATAGATGAACTGGTCGCGGAGATGAACACTTTCCACTTCCTACAAAATACCGAGGCACCAACCGTTATTCATCCGCGAACAAACTCTCATGTTGATAACTCAGAGATTGTTGGCAAAGAAGATGAGAAGGAACTAGTGGTGAAGATATTGCTCGAGCACTCTAACATCAATAACAATAATGATGATAATACTATTATGGTGCTCCCCATAGTAGGTATGGGGGGGATTGGTAAAACCACACTTGCTCAACTTGTGCACAATGACCAACGAGTTATGCATCATTTTGAGTTGGTCATATGGGTTTGTGTCTCTAACAAATTTGTTATCGATGAAACAATCCGATCTATAATACAAGTAGCCACGATGAACAAGTGTGACTTGACCGAAATGGAGGCACTGCAGAAGAAACTTCATGAAGTGTTGGGCAAGAAAATGTACCTCCTAGTGCTTGATGATGTTTGGAATGAAGATGGACAAAAGTGGAAAGACATGCTATCATTGTCGTGCTCAGATGCTGGCCCCGGTAGTGCTATAATTGTGACATGCCGTAGCGAGCAAGTTGCTTCTATCATGGGCACACTTCCTACACATCATATATCACTTTTAAAAGAGGATCAATCATGGGAGCTTTTTCATACGAATGCATTTGGAAGGACAGTGGAAAAGACAGAAGAAATTATTTCAGTGGCTAAGAGTATTGTACACAAGTGTAAGGGGTTGCCTCTTGCTATCAAGACCATCGCAACGTTACTTCATTTGAAGGATCACAGTCAGTGGTTTTCTGTTCTGGATAGTGATGTCTGGAAAAATGATATTCTCACAACTAGGATTGTACCTGCGCTACAACTGAGCTATGATCACTTGAAATCAGAAGAAAAAATATGCTTTTCCTTTTGTGCTATTTTCCCCAAGGGTAGCATCATGGATAAAGACATGTTAATCCACCTATGGATGGCAAATGATTTTGTTCCATCAGAAACAAGAGGCCAACAAATTTTTGATCTACTAGTTTGGAGATGTTTCATTCAAGATGGTGATATTCAAAATAATCTGCTCTCCGGATTTCGAGATGAATATAATGAGTTCATCTACATGCCAACCACTTACAAGATGCATGATCTCATGCATGATCTTGCTGACTCCGTAAGTGGAAATGATTGCTCTATTCTGCAAGAATCTTCTTGGCAACAAATTTCGCAAGAGTCCACATATGTCAATTCATTACAACACGAAGTTCGACATCTGACACTTGATTATGTGCATGATCATACTATTGCAACCATGCAGAAAATTCTTGCTCCCCGGCCCCGCACAATATTAGTTCGAAGGGGGGCTATGGGCAAGTCAAAATTCATATCCTTACGAGCATTGAAAACATGCTATATCAGGCCATATTTGACGAATTTGAAGCATCTTCGCTACCTAGATTGTTCTGATTCTTATGTATCTGCGCTGCCTGAAGCCATTACCATGTTGTACAGCTTGCAAACATTGAAGCTCAATAGTTGTGAATACCTAAAGAAATTGCCAGAAGGCATGAGATCTATGAGAAGTCTTCGGCACATCTTCCTCCTTGGATGTCATCGTTTGGAGCGTATGCCACAAGGTATTGGTCAGTTGACTTCTCTACAAACATTGACGAATTATGTCATTGATAGTGATGCGGGTCGTGGCATTGATCAATTGAAAGATTTGAATCTTTGTGGTGCTCTTTCTTTGACTGAGCTAAGAAAAGTGCATAGTGCAAATAATGCTAAAGAAGGCAATATGTTCGCCAAGCATAATTTGAAATGTTTATCACTCAATTGGAAATGTGAACCTTCTTATAGGACACAAATTGGATGTAATGTAGATACTAATGCAGAAGGAATATTAGAGGCCATTCGTCCTCACAATAGACTTGAAGTTTTACAATTGTCTAATTACACCGGTGATAAATTTTCATCATGGATGCACAAGTCTAAACTGTTAGAACATCTCAGTGAACTTCGTCTGAAAAGCTGCAAATATTGCAAGGATCTCCCACCAATATGGCATCTGCCCTCCCTCAGGTACTTGAGTTTGGATGGTTTGCATAGCTTGAGAAGTATATGTGTTGGGAATGATGGCATAGACAATGGCAAATCCTGTGCTTCTCCACCACCCTTATTTCCTAAGCTGGAAACTATGAAATTTAATGACATGCGTAACCTAGAGAGATGGCACCTGGAGGTGGCTGGACAAGCAGTGAATGTATCATTTCCTCGGCTCAAGAAGCTAGATATTTTCAGATGCCCAATGCTAAGAAGAATTCCCATGATGCTCCCTTTGCTTGAAGATATACAGTTGGTGTTCTCAAACATTCCTCTTTACCATCTGATGCATCTACCTATGCAATCTAACCTTCACTGCACAGGCGAAATATGGCTGACGCCTGAATGTATGTTGGGACCTACTAGACTTCATTTTTCGAGCCTTGGTGACTCTGACGTGCGACTTCGACTCGATGGTCGGAATGAAGATGTAAATTTATTTGAAGAGATGCTGAACAGAATAGGTTGCAGATTCTTTAAGAAGTTGGATATTGTAGGTTGGGGCAGTCTTTTCTCCTCTGTACTTTCCCAAATACAATGGAATATATGGAACAATTTCCGTTTCGTTGAATGTATATGGATTTCAGACAACTATAGCATAGTAAAATGGCCAGCGGCAGAACTGAGACACTTGAAGCGTATCCGAAGTCTAAAAATGTCTTACTGTTCCAACTTTACTGGTTCACTTCCATCAAGAATATGTGATGATGAAAATGCTTTGCCTCCTCGACTCCAGTATCTTGGAATTGAAAACTGTGTGAATTTAGTGGAGGTACCCATGTTGCCCGCAAATCTTGAATATTTGCACATCGCATGTTGTGCCAAGCTGGTGTCCATGCCAAAAAATCTTGGGAATGCAAAAAGATTGACAACATTAAGTGTGATACAGTGCAATGCCCTAATGATGTTTCCAGATGGAAAGTATGGAGTCACTATGCTCAAGAAGCTGGAAATGGTGCGGTGCCCATGGGTAGAGTCGCTACCGGAGGGACTCCTGCAGCAGCTCCCAGCCCTTGAGGAACTAACTATCAGGGACTGCCACAACCTGGAGGAGGCCTTCTCGATAGGAGGTGCTTACTGGAATTTGATTGAAGCAATTCCACGTAGATCAGTTGGCAGATCAGTGCAATTCGAGACAGATAGATTGGCTGATACCATGCACTGAATGCTTAGACTGTCTTCATTGGGATGCATGTGCATGTGCCTCCTGTCCTGTGTGTGCCTGTGCCTCGTGGAGCTATGTGTGCCAATGAGGTATATAGACACCCTCTTCTCTTTACCTGGTTATTATGTCACCTTCCAAAATTTATAACTCAACCCTCAGTTATTAATCATGTATATATAGTTCCATCTATCCAAATAATCTATTTGGTCTCGTTGTAGATGTCAAAACCTGTACCTATGTAAAGAGTGCTTGTGTTTTTGTCTCCAGGTATCTGCTATGACGTCCAAATGATTCACATTAGTTGTACATGCACTGCAACAGTAACGGGGAAAGTTGTTTCCTTTACAAATCAAGTTCAGTGAAGTTTATACTTGCTAGTACGTGACCCTTGCCTGCTAAGTACATATTGGACCATGCTGGTCTACGACACAACTGTTAGGCACTGCCATTTACATAGTTCATTATCAAATTACGGTCATGGCTTTATGGATCACCCAGTCTTCAAGTAATTCCTGTTATACTGTATGACAGAACTCAGTGACTGGAATTTGCTTTGGTTCCCATTCAAGTCTGTTGTACGACCTCGTAGAACGGAGGAGGAGATTTTATAAATACAACATCTACGTGATTACATGATCTCCTCTGCTGCTTACAAAAAAAATCTTTTATATTCATTCATTCCCTCAGATCATCTATCTTATCTTCGACAGTAACATGACTGGTGAGGACCATACACAGAGCTGGAAGTAGTGACCAGGGCCTGATTGTAGCAAAACAGGGTCATCTTTAGGTGAAGATGGTGTGATGTATGTGGTATACATTGCATATCATACATTGTATGTATAACAGCTACAGAATATTTGTATCAAAAAGGCCGTAAGGATGTCCAATTATCGTTGTTATTTAAGATCAACTCGTGACAGGTTGCTTGTTTCCAGGCAGAGCTTATTCAGTTGTGTGGTGCTCCTTGTTGTCGTTGCCCTTTGTTAGCTGACAGCATTAAGATTGTGGCGAGAAGGAACGACATGTTCAGAAATAATTCAGTGACTATTTAGTGATATTACTCAGTCTAAGAAAGACGGTCATTTTGGAATGAACTTCTGTTACTGCATATTACTCAGTCTTGAAGCAACCGCTATTGCTGTCTGAAATAATTCAGTGACTAGTTTGTGATAGTAGTTTGAAATCTGTCATTATCAATATAGACTGAAATTTGTCAGTGCATGTTTACTCAGTCTTTGAGAAGGCACGATTACTTGCATGAAAATGAATATTCAGTGCCTCAAATTTTCTTTAGCTCACCAAATAGCTGAGCATGTTGGAGTTCCCAGTCAAACCTGAACATTTCAGTACTGTAAAGCAGATCTTATTATGTGAACACAACATAATCTGCTTGATTAGATCAGCACTACACGATATATACTAAGTATGTGCTGAAATTGGTAGTTGTCTACTTCTTCCACTACTAACCACTAGTACCGTCAAACCTGAACATTTCAGTACTGTAAAACCAATGTGTTCTCCAGGGTGAGTGTGTACCCAAGTACTGGGATGGCTACAGTAGGGATGTAACCTAGGACATGGAGTATGTGATCGCGAGCTCCAGTGATCCCGGATGAACTGTTAAATCCGAAAAAATAGTAAAAATTTCAAAAAATTCTGAATTTTTTGGAAAGAAACATTGGTGTTTTTTCTACATGCATGCAAATTTTCATGATGAAATTACATTTCTAGAGGTGTGGGTAAAAACAAATTGATGTTCCAACTAACCTCATTATTTTTGGGTGTACACTGTTAGGGAAAACCTTATACACAGAATCTTAACAGCAGCGCGGGTCAGGAAGAAGTGCTACTGCTAATTAGCAGTAGCGCGGGCCCCAGACATGCGCTACTGCTACAAACTTAGCAGTAGCGCGGCCCGGTCGAACCACGCTGCTACTAAAATTGACGTACCATTCCCGCCACCCTAGGTTTAGCAGTAGCGCGCCCGCGCTAACCGCGCTACTGCTAAAGTAATAGCAGTAGCGCGGGTCAAAGCGTGCTACTGATAAGCGTTAGCTGTAGCGTCGTATCAGTAGCGCGGTCACCCGCGCTACTGCTAGGCTTTTCGCTGGTAGTGGTAGACTCCTACCTGCATCTACTACTATTACTGCACCCATCGACCGCTATCCAGCATGCATCTATCCTATTAAGTATGAAACAGAGTAACGCCTTAAGCAAGATGACATGATGTAGACAAAGTAACTCAACTAATATGAATAAACCCCGTCGTTTTATCTTTAATGGCAACAATACAAATACGTGTCTTGCCCCTTTCTGTCACTGAGATATCACTGGGATAGAGCACCGTAATATTGAAACCATCACAAAGCATCTCTTCCACCGAAGATAAATCAATCTAGTTGGCCAAACCAAACGGATAGATCGGAGAGAAATACAAAGCTATAACAATCATGCATAAATAAGTTCAGAAAATACTCAAATATTTCTCATGAATATTCAGATCATAAATCCACAATTCATTGGATCCCAACAAACACACCGTAAAAGAATATTACATTAGATAGAACTCCAAGAAGATCGAGAAGAACATGGTATTGAAGATCAAAGAAAGAGAAAAAGCCATCTAGCTAGTAGTTTTGGACTCGTAGGTCCGTGCTAAATTACTCACGCATAATTGGAAGGCAGCAAGAAAGAAGCCCTCCGTGATCGATTTCCCAAGCGGCAGAGTACCGAAAAAGGCCTCCAGATGGGATTGTGGAAGAACGGAAGCTTGCGGCGGCAAAAAAAGTGTTTCGCGTGGGTCTTTGGTGTATTAAGAATATTTGATTATTTATAGAGGCGGAATTAGGTCAAGAGGTGCCACGAGGGGCCCACAAGCCTGGGGCTCCACCAAGGGTTCACCTAGCGAGCTTGTCGCTCCCTCGTAGCCCTTGTGGTCTTCTCCCCAACCTTCTTGGGTCCCTTCTGGTCCAGAAAAAATTAATCCAAATATTTTTCTCCGTTTGGACTCCGTTTGATATTAATTTTCTGAAGAGCCAAAAACAAGCAAAACAACAACAACTCGCACTGGGCACTAGGTAATAGACTAGTCCCATAAAATGATATAAAATTGCATATAAAACATCCAAGATTGATACTATAATAGCATGAAACAATCAGAAAGTATATATATGTTGGAGACGTATCACTGGCTAAGTGGAAAAAAGAAAGGAATTTGTTGCCTTGTTTTTTCCTCTCTTCTTGCCTGTATGCTCATTTGCTCGAGCAGCTGCAGGAGCTATTGCCCACAGGCAACTCCGGGCACCCAGACTAGCTAGGGGTTGCACACCTAAGAGGCCCATGCACTGGGGGTCAAGAACCCCGGACATCCGGAGTGCACAGGGGTAGGTGATGACCCACAAGTATAGAGAATCAATCGTAGTCATTTTGATATATAAGTAAGAGTTTCGAACCCAACGAGGAGCAAAAGGAATTGATAAGCGGTTTTAGTAAGGTATTCTCCGCAAGTGATGTAAAGTAGTAGTAACAAACAGTTTGATAGCAAGACAATTGACAGCAAGTAACAAGTAACCAAAGTAACAAGGTGCAACGAAGAGGCCCAATCCTTTTATTGCAAAGGACAAGCCAGTAATATTTCTTATAATAAGCAAAGCGTCCTATAATTGTGATAAGCCACATCGATCAAGTTGCTTCTATAATGGACACACTTCCTTCACATCGGATATATGTTCTAAATGAGGATCAGTCATGCGAGCTTTTTCATATAAACGCATTTGGAAGGGAAGTGAGAAAGCAAGAGGAATTGATTTCACTGGCTAAGAGTATTGTCCACTAGTGTAAGGGATTGCCTCTTGCTATCAAGACCATGGCAACTTTAATTTGTTCAAAGCATCACAATCAGTGGTTTCCTGTTCTGCATAGTGATGTCTGGAAGAATGGCATCCTGACAACCACTGGGACTGTACCTGCACTACAGCTAAGCTATGATCACTTGTCATCGGAAGCAAAAATATGCTTTTCCTTTTGTGCTATTTTCCCCAAGGATAGCCCAATGGATAAAGACTTGTTAATCCAGCTATGGATGGAAAATGACTTTATTGCATCAGAAACAAGAGGCCAACAAATTTTTGATTTACTAGTTTATAGATGTTTCCTCCAAGACGTGGAGATTCAAAAGGATCTACTCTCTGCGTATGAAGATGAGAAAATCCACCGACCAACTACTTGCAAGATGCATGATCTTGCTGACTCCATAAGCGGAAATGATTGCTCCATTCTGCAAGAATCTTCATCACATCAGGAGATTCTGCAAGGATCCACAGCTGCTAGACCATTACAGCATGAGGCTCAACATTTGTCACTTCATTATGTCAGTAATCAAGCTATTGCAACCATGGAGGAAATTCTAGCTATCCGGGCCCGCACGATATTAGTCCAAAGTGAGTGGCTTCCTTGTGATGAAGACAAGTTTCTGAGTATGACTAAGTCAAAATTTATGTCCTTGCGAGCACTGAAGACATTCTCAACGGAGGGACATATGAAAAACTTGAAGCATCTTCGCTATCTAGATTTTTCTCACTCTAGTATACATGCACTGCCTGAAGCCATTACCATACTGTATGGCTTGCAAACATTGAAGCTCATTAGTTGTAGACACCTGAAGAAATTACCAGAAGGCGGCATGAAATATATGAGAAGTCTTCGACACATCTTCCTTGTTGGGTGTACAAGATTGGAGCGCATGCCAGAGGGTATTGGCCAGCTGAATTCTCTATAGACATTGACAAGTTATGTCACTGATAGTGATGCAGGTCGTGGAATTGATCAACTGAAAGATCTGAATCTAGGTGGTGCTCTTTCTTTGTTTGAGCTGAGAAAAGTGCATGCTGCAGAAAATGCTAAAGAAGGCAACCTGTCTACCAAGCATAATTTGAAACGATTGTCACTCAATTGGGAACCAATATGCAGATGATCTGAATCTACAGTACTCGTATTCAATATGCAGATGCTAAAGCAGAAACAATATTAGAGGCCCTTCTTCCCTACAAAAGGCTTGAAATTCTAGTGTTACGTAATTACACTGGTGCTAAATTGTCATCATGGATGCACAACTCTACAGTGTTAGAGCATCTCAGTGAACTTACTCTGAGTGACTGCATGAATTGCAAGGATCTTCCACCATTATGGCGGCTGCCCTCCCTCGTGTACTTGCGTTTGCACGGCTTGCATAGGTTGACAAGTATATGTGTTGGCACTGAAGATACTGACATCAGGGAATCCAATACTTCTAGACCACCCTTCTTTCCTAAATTGGAACATATGATAAGTGCCGACATGGATGAACTAGAGCGATGGCACCAGGAGGTGCCAGGACAAGTGGCAGATGTATCGTTCCCTCTGCTCAAGAAGCTATATATTTCTGTATGCCCAATAGCAAGCATGCCCAAGATGCTCCCTTTACTAGAAGAACTAGTGGTGAAGGGCCGAAGTTGCATTCCCCTTCACCATATGTTTAATCTCTCAGTGCAATCTAATCTTCAGTGCAAAGGTATAATTCAAATGAAACTGTTTACAAGGACCACTACTACGTCGTCAAGAGTCGACCATGACACATTCCCTAGCGGAGCGGAGACAAGAAAACGAGTGAAACGCACGAGGTAGGTACGTACTATGGGAGGAATTGACCAGCACCTACACTGCTGCACAGATGGTCAATTTCCTTGACACGTTTCAGCGATGTCCTCCCGTTCTCCCTACTTTACTATCTTCTCATTCCACTTTGCTTCCTTTGTTTTTCGTTTATGTAGCTATCATAGCTTCTAGTTAGTGACAACTACATGCACATTGGTTTTATATCATAACATTGTGGAAGAACGGATGTGAATATGAAATGAAGGAAAATTGCTTTCCAACAATGCTGCTGAAAGATCAGCCAATCAGAATATTCCCCATCTAGTCTGAACCTCAGACTTGACAGCAAGCTTGTCTTTTCGCAACTGACGTGGAGTAGAACACACAGGCAATGCGTGCGTGCGTGCTGAAATGAAAGCCAGCCCATATCGAATCTATCTGGCTGATACTCCTCTATGTTTTCTAAAGATTTTTACTACTTGCGTTCATACTAAAATTGAAATGTCCCATATCCTCACACGCAGACGTTTCAGACATCGAGAACTGACAGCAAAGTTATCCAGTTCATAATTCAGTAGCAGATATCACAGGCAATGGGTGGTTGATGTCTGAACTGGATAACTTTGCTGTCAGTTCTCGATGTCGAAACGTCTGGGTGGTTGATGGCACAAAAGGTATAGCCAATACCATTCTGGTGTGCCACATCGCCACAAACATTCTTGAACTCAGGTCAGCAGGCTCATGTCAACCTCCCTCTGACCATAAGACCGCTGCCATCCACCTGTCCCGGTACTGCGCCTACCTGGTGGCCAACTCTCCTGAGCTGCTTCCAGAGGATGACGAGTGGTGCAAGAGATTGTACAAGACCGTCAAGAAGAAGGCCGAGCACATCATTGCCGGAGTGTCAACAGCTGAAGTGGAGTATCAGCAGTTGGTGGAGCTGATGAGCGCTTCACAGAATCATGAGGTGCTCAAGGATGGTGCCAAGCTCGGACAACAGTTGGCGGAGCTAAACCAAGGAGAGACCAGCACGGCATGGGAGCTCCTCGCTGGCTTTTGGTCAGAGATGATGTTGTACATCGCCCCATCGGACAACATTGACGGTCACTCGGAGGCCATCGCCCGCGGCGGCGAGCTCATAACGCTCATATGGGCATTGCTCGCACACCTGGGGATTTTCAGTAGAGCCGCCGGCGACCCGGCCAGCACCACCGGTGAAAGTGTGTAGGTGTGTGTTCGATTTTTTGTGATCCATTTTTGGTGAAGGACCTTCATTTCTCGAGGCTTGGTGACTCTAGAGTGAAATTGAGGCTTAAAGGCTTCGCGGAAAATGTAGAGCTCTTTGACGAGGAGCTGAAAAAAAATACCTTGCAGATTTATTAAGGATGTGGATATAGTAGATTGCAACTGCCTTTTCTCATCTGAACCATCCCAAATACAACGGAATATATGGAACCATTTTGGTTTTGTTGAAACAATGGAGATTAGAGGCAACAATAGTATAGTACAATGGCCAGCGATAGAATTCAGAAGCTTGAGTTGTCTTCGACTTCTAAATGTGCTCGGTTGTTCCAACTTAACTGGTTCACTTCCATCAACAATATCTGCTGACGAAAATGCCATGCCTCCTCGACTCCAGGATCTTCAAATCAAACAATGTGGAAATTTGGTGGAGGTACCAAAGTTGCCTGCATCTGTTTAAAAAATTGTTGATCTGGTATTGTCGCAAGCTGGTGACCATGACAGCAATTCTGGGGAACAACAAAAAATTGCTAGAACTCTGTGTGTATGAGTGAGATGCCCTAACAACATTTTCAGATGGAATGTATGGAGTCACTGCGCTCAACTATCTAGTTATGGATGGGTGTCCAGAGGTAGAGACATTGCCGGGGGGACTCCTCCAGCTACTCCCAGCCCTTGAGAGACTGCGTATCGTATGTTGTCCCAACTTGGAGGTGGCTTTCTCAAAAGGAGGCGCATATTGGAATTTGGTTGAAGCAATTCCACAGAGAACAGTTGGCTAGGCCATGCGCTGAATACTTCGGTTGCATGCGCTTGTGTATGCCGAGGGCCTCATGTGGTTATGCCTTCAATGAGGTATATATAGCCTCTTATGCTTACCATGTTCTCTAGTTCTCTTTACCAAGATCCAGGACTCCTCATAGCAATTTGTAACTCAACTTCAGTTTATTAATCATATATAGCTGCATCTATCTGTGTAATCTATTTGGTGTCTTTATAGATGTCAAAATCTAAAGCAGCTGCATAGGTTTAAGAGCATGTTTGTTTCAAAAAGGCAGTAAAGTTGTTGTATCAGATGAACTCTTGCCAAGCTGCTTGTTTTCGGGCAGAGCTAATTCAGTTAAACAGATGCTTCTTGTTGCTGCTCTTTTTAGGTAACAGTATTAAGATTGTGACGAGAAAGAATCACAAATTCAAAATGTAATGCTGCTTATCCAGTTAAGCAGATGAAGTATTTATGGACTGAATGAGTCACTGTACATTACTCGATGACTGTTACTGTATGAAAGGATCCAGTGACTGGATCTGCTGCTTACTGAGTTCAGTCACTGTATATTAATGGCAGGTAGGGATGCATACATAGATGTCTTGCAGAGTGGTTCATTATTCCTCTTTGAAGGTAGGCTAGGAACCCGTGCCCTATCGGAAATGAAGAGGAAACTGCTACGAGTTTGACCGGGGACGAAACAGAGCATGCAACAAAAACAGAGGAGTTGCTTTGTTTTTTTTTTCCTATTTTATTTTTTCAACATTTGCAAATTTACTGCATCACAGGGTAAGATGGTGTATGAGCATGGCACAGCCGGTTTTTTGTGGTGAGTTCCACACTGATGTTGAAGCTTCAGTGAATGGTCCAAATCACAGCTGAAACAGTGTGGTTAACGAGGCTCAGTTAAGGTCCTGTCAAGGACCACACTGTTTCCTGTTGTTGAACCTCTGAGGGAGCACAGCACGGCTCAGTTAAGTTTAGTTAATGGACGGCCCAAATGGTCCGATCGAGGGAGGATAAGTGAACACCGACGGCTGAGATTTGTTCATTGTCTTTCAAATTTCAGCTTTTAAAACGCTTCTTCACCTTCTTTACTGTTGTAATTCACTGTAAAATAACTATTTATATTTTAAAACGAGATATGTTTAACATTATAATTAAGGGCACTATAAAACCATGGGTATAAGTACTCAGTTATAGCTTTAGGGAGAGAATATGGGAGAACATATACGGACACCTTAGAGCATCTACGTCCGGACAGGCTGCTGCTGTCAATCGCAAGCACCTATGGCGTTTGGGGATTTCCACAACGGCGCGGTCGAACCTATCTAAGGCGCCGTCCGAAGATCGCGCGATGGATAGGGGGTCTCCGGCGGCTGCGCTGTCGAAGATCTTGGGGCGGCGGCCAGAGGCTGGGAGACGGAGCGGCCGGCCCTGTGCGACTGTCACGACGGCCGCCGGGCTGCTTGGGCGGTGACAGAAGTACAAGGAAGAACTGCGTGAGAATGAGGGGCACACCCACCAGTTAAGATAGAGATAATTCTCTTTTTCAGGTGTGATTGCTTATTTTATTAATAACTGCAATTACTCATATTATTAATCATAACAATTATCATTATGGAAGGACAAATCTACCCTAACAACCAATTACCAAAACTGCAAAGAAAAAAATCAGGGATCAATAATGACCATTGGATCAATTATGTACTACTATCCACTATCTCTAGTAGTATGATGTACCGTAAAAAGTCTCAAACTAAAAGTTATCTAGACAGGCGTCTCAAACCTGCTTCAAACGCCCGGCACGGCACCCCTCAGATTCAGCTCAAATCTAGGATATATATGGGTGGCCCGGGCGCGATCTGGCGCGTTCATCACGTCGGATCCGGCCTGCACTGGCCCACACGACCTCACATATACTTGTCTCATCCGCTCGTCGGACTAAACCCTAGACTCTACACGCCACTATACTCCCCTCCGCCCCAAAGCTCCCTTCCAGCGATATTCGGCCCTCTCCAGCATGGAGGATAGAGGATTTGACTCCAACCACTCCGGATCCATCGACTGGGGTGTCGTCCCATGCAGGATGGAGGAGGCTATGGTCGTCCGCATTGCCCTTCGCCACTCCCAGAAGG